GCTATTTCATTTTTTTTATTGATTGATTAGTTGAATCATGTGACCTTTGCAAAGGCCTTTGCCCTTTTAAAGGTCTTAAGCTGGGCACCAACTGATTTCAAAGGCCTTTGGGTAAACACTGAATTATTATATATATGGCATTGTATCTTGTGGCATAATTGGTGCATTTGTTTGCTTCAAATCATAGGCAGAACAGTGTCAGCTGATATTGGCTTTGAGTTAAGACCAATCTGATGACTTAATATATACCCTAATTTCTTATGAATCAAGTCAACTTTCCTGAAGTTTTATTTGTTATCTTTCCAAGTTGTTAAAATATACATCTTTTCATTTTGTCCACTATATTTCATAAATAAATCCTCATTTTTTGACAGAAACCCGGTGTGAGTTGGCATGTTAGGCCGAATTCTCATCAAGGAATCACAACGATGCTGATTATTGGCTGGATACCTCACTACAACAAGTGGTAAAGTCATCGATGATTATTGTGTTAAGGTTGCAAGTCAACCAATTCAGGACTGATAGATTTCAGTGGTCAACGGAAAGTCACCATGTGAGGTGGAACTCCAAGCGCGCTGAGGTCTCATCAGGCAAAGCTTCAAAGCATAATCGCCAACGCACCCAGAAATGCTTGCTCCTCCGTGTCATGGGCCAATAGCTGCTGACAGTCCTCCCTCATCTTGACATCCAGCCCTCGATTTGGCGACTTATGGTGATTTTGCGCTATAGTCTCCAATCCCGTCACCAGCTGCCCGCAGGATCGTAGCAGGAAGAGATGTTGACCCCCGGAGGCTGGAAACGTGACGCGCCAGCCATCGTTGCCCTCCGCATTCAAAGCGTCGTTTCCGGGGATCTCCATGGCCCTCCGCGGGAGACCCAGGTCCAGGAGGTGAGGAACAATACGGCCCTCCGCACAGGCTGCGAAAAGGTCCCCATTCGTCCGGACACAAGCCAGTACATCGTTCTGCCGGCCATCTTTTACGACGGGCATAAGCTGCAAGACGTTGTTGAGACGGGAGCCATCGGGTTCCTTCGTTGGCATGTAGGACCAGCTGACGAATGGCTGTGCTGCTGCATCGTTGCACAGAAGAATCAATATCTGCTCAGCAATCGCCTGTTTGTGGGTGATGCATGCGTGCATGAGGACCGCGGAAACGAAATGGCGGTCTTGATAATGCAAAAGAGGCCAGGTACTCACCTGAGCTGTCAGCACGTCGTTGACAGAGCTCCCGATGACCTCCGGCCTTCCAGTGGACCTTTTGACATTCTCGAGAGCAGTAGGAGGCAGATCCACAGTCCATGCACCGCTTAAGCAGGTGTCTTTCCATGATTCGAGGGCACTGTGTAAAATTGAGTATTCTTTGACAGGCATATCTGGGTCTTACCCGGATGTTAGAACAAGCTTGTTTTCTGAGAGCAGAGGAATCCGCGCGATCATGATACTTGTGTTATACGGACACTCGTTCTACAGCCATGGCAAGAAACCCCTGCCAAACCGGTGCAGCATAGTCCGGCAACGATTGTGCGGCCGGATCCTTGACGGCGGCCGCAATCGCATTTCCTAACGCAGCAGCGACCGCGGGGAAAATTGTAAACGGAGGTAACACAACGCGCAGGAAATGCTCGATCTCTGCAGACGCCATCGTGCGTCCACTGCTAGAGGATGTCATCAGGAAAATAACAAATCCTTGTGGGAGCCTTGTACAAGGACCTATGAGCCTTGTCAGAACTTGTAGGCCTTGTAGATACTTGTAGATACTTGTAGCACCTTGTGAGCAGTACTTGTAGAAGAGCCTTGTACAAGATCATCTACAAGGATGTACAAGGACATCCTACAAGCACTCAAGTATCATAACTCTAAACAGGTACCTCAACAATTCTAGTATAGCATCTATCATTAATCAATAACCAGCTCAGTTTCTGGAGCTGACTTATATTTAATAACAAACTGTCACAAACATTAATAGTACTGCTGCAAGAAGTCAATTATAGGAAGTAGCCTCACCTATATCTTTGAAGTCTTGAACCAAGAATCATTACAGACAGCTACACAATCTGTAAATGAGCCTCATTGGTCTGGAATAACAGCGAAATTTGGCTAAGTCTAGCCGAGGGTGATGACACAATTGGGCTGACGAAGCGGTCGGCCATGGTCCGTAAGATCACGGACAATTACTCTGGAGTGACGGGGACGTCACATTCTTCTTTTTTCTTCCTCTCCCCCCCACTTTCGCCTCTCCGCAGCACTCACAAACGCGGTGCGCCTTTTACTCTTGCTCTCCGTTCCTTGCTCACCGCTCATGCGTTTCCTTTTCAGCTGAGCTGCCTGGACCGCAAACACGCCGCGGGTACGTGGCCGACCAGGTCTTGTCGCGTTTGGTGCGTGCTCGTTCTTCCTTCTACCGCTCAGTTCTGACAAACTCTGAGTTGGCACCATAACTACTTGGTTTTCGCCTCCATATCTGATCCCAGTGGTTGCCCGCAGCATTGCGCTCGCCATTCTCGTTGGTTGGGGCTCGTTATGGCCGGGTTTGTTCTTTTTACCGCTGAATTTGGTGACTCACTACTTCCCAGCCACGCGCCTTCGATCCTGCCCTTGCCAGATGGATGACGAACGTGTCGGTCTTCAAATGTCGTGTGTCATACATCTTCTGCTCATTCGACAACTGATTCATTGGTACAGCTTGACACGGCCGTCTGGAGACATCGCAGGGGCGGACTGGCCCATTCTTCGAAGTCAGTGGGCTGTGCAGAGGATGGAGCGCGGCTTTCGCACAGGACAGCCGATCTCGCTCATCCATCGGCCGTGACGCAGCGCTCCTTGGCGTGCCTCTGATGCTTTCCGCCATGGCACTCGTTGTGCGCTTTTTGCGTAGCCGTGCACATGCTCGCGACGGGATTGGTGGCATACCGACCTTTCGACGGGATTGGTGACATGTTTGGAGCTGGTTGTGGCTGTGGAAGTGGAAGGTTTGGCAGTTGACGCATACACACTGTACTGTAGCATAGCTTCCATCAATGAATCTTTTTTTCCTGTTTCTTTGCCCATCCTGAGTGCCTGCAGGGTCCTTGTACATGTCCTTGTGAAGAGGCCTTGTATGGCCTTGTATGACCTTGTAAGCCTTGTAGGCCTTGTACAAGGAGGGGACATAGCTTGTACAAGGCCTTCTACAAGGCCGACCTTGTGGGGCCTTGTAGACCTTGTAGACCTTGTACAAGGCCTACAAGGCCTCTACAAGGATTTGTGATTTTCCTGATGGTGAAGTAAAGCGTGAGCAAACCAGCGCGAAGTGCCTCTGCGATGTATACCTGCGGCCGCCGCGACTGCGAAGCACTGCCAAAGCGTATGCATGATGGGGAGCAGGACCATCTGCAAGTGCGTCGCGTTTGCCGGCGTCGACCGCATCCTGGTGATCGCCACACACACCCTCATCAGCGGCGTGACAATCCCCGCCTCGTTGAGTTCCGGCCCAATGATATCGGCGGTGATCGTCAAAAGAGCCGATGGGCCCGAAACTTCCTCGAATTCGGCTGCCGTCGGTATCCGCTGGGAGCTTGGGAACCGGCGCGTGAGGTGGTCGACAAGCACTTTAGCAAGGGCCTTCCGCCCACCTACTCCGTCCAGCAGTTCAGCAAGGATCTGTTGCGTAGAGAACGTGGGATTGCCCGCCGGTGTTGCCAGGATTGCCAAAGTTCCTGAAAGCGTCGCTAGAGAACCCGCAGGGTCAATGGGAGCAGTGACATAGTAGGTCCACCACTCTGCGAGCGTGCGGAGAAGCCCCTGTGTGCCAGGTATGCTCGTTTTCTGCGCCAAGATGCCCCGTTGCCAGTGATCGCCCAAGGTGCCAAGGCCCTTTGATGGCAGAGGCCTCTGGGGCCCTTGGCCAGGGCCCTTGGGCTCCCAGCTGCCAGACTCGAGGGCCTTGCAAGGCCCTTGTGATTGGATCATGATCCCATCATTCCATATACCTAATCTGTATCACATCAACAGGTCAATTCAATACAATTCCATCATCCCAGATCAGAAAATTTTCTCACTTTTCACGTTATTCAACCGCTGCCCACGTCCCACTATCCTGCAATGCAGGGAGGGCTCAGGCAGTAAATACTTCTACTACCCTGGGACCTTGGCCGGTCGCATCACTTTCTAAAGTGTCACTTTGAACTGACTTTCCAGTACTTATTATTTCACTTTGTACTACACCATTCACTGTAATTATACCGTGTATCCAAGTGAAAGTGAAGGGAAATGAGAATGAAAGGAATGAGAATGAAGGTGACTGCAGTAGATCAAGCCATTGGCACACAAAATTGAGTGAGAATGCCGAGGACGGAAAGTGAAGTGGAAGTGACGAGGTGAAAGCATAAGGTGAAAGTGAGAAAGGTGGAATTGCGGTGGAGTGAAAGTTGAGTGAAGTCGGAGGTGAAATGGCAGTGAAGTGAAAAATGGGGAGTGAAAGTGAACAGAAGAATGAGATGGTGCTCGGAGTGGGAGAGAATGAAGGTGAGAGTGAGGAAGTGGAAGTGACGGCCTGTCGCCGTGTGCGCGAGAGCACTTTAGGGTGCGCGAGAGTTGGGGCTTGCCTCCAGAAGCTTGTACAGCTTTTATACGTCTGGAAGAGGCTTGGCACAGACAATGGCGCCATCCAGCACAATGAACAACCATAGCCGTTGTGCCCAAGCGGTACCACTAGCTCAAAGCGTTGATCTGCATGGCCATCGTTGAGCAGTCTGTCACACGTGACAGCAGGACCAAGCACTGTCTTCGATCTTTGCTGGCTCCTTCCACATTGCCCCGACCTCCAAACTCTGCCCATCAGTCTCCCAAATGCAAATACCACGCTGCCTTGAACTTCAAAGTGCTTGCCTACAATGGCAGTGTGACTGAGTTGGGCTCGGAAAAGTTGAATGGCCCCAGTCAGCATTGTTGCCTTCGCGACTCACGCTCGCACACTCACTCAGACATTATTCGAATACATTGAACAGGACTGCCACTTCCACTATGTTGTGTGCAAGTCTCGGACTAACTCGACCTCAAACAACTCCTCGTCGCCCTTCTCTATATCGTGCTTGGCTTCCTGTTCGTCTTTGGCGGCTTGCTCTGCGTCCCGCTTCTCCTGACGCTTCAAGGCACTCGCATATACCTCATCTAACGAAGACCACGCTCCCGTGATACGATCTGCAAACTTCGCGAACATTCGTGCTTGCTTTGTGGCGTAAGCAGACTTCCCCATTTCCCCGTCCTTATGGGTTTTCGCCAATGTTGCCCATATGTCTGTGTACCGCGTGAATGCTCGTTTGCAACGCTTGAATTCGGCGTCCAGTATGTGGGTCTCCTCCGTAGCACGGTCAACTGATGCCCGTAAGCGGAAGTATCGCATCCGGTCCACTATAAATATCGATAAGCAGCGGACTGTCTGGCGAAAATCAATGGCCTACTTTCAATTTGCCATTCTTCTTTCTGTGTTTCTGACATCCCCTGTGGACGCCCGACCCTCCAAATCCATGATTCGACTTCCCGTGATTGTCCAGCTTTGAGCGCTTGGCCGTCTTTCCCCCCGCAGATGTTTCTTCAGCAAGGGTTGGAGCACCGGGTCATTGGCAGGAAGCCCTAGCTTCATCAGTGCCTCGCGTTGGACCTTATATCCTGTGGCAAGAATCCGAATGTCGTTGTACTGTACCATTGCATATGTTTGTGCTCGAGTATTTGCGCCAGTACCGTGGATGTTGGCTTTTTTGAAGGCGATGGTGATATTGAAGGCGCAGATGGCGTTACGAATGTCCTGTAGTAGATCATGAGCCATTCCCTCTCTCAATGCGTATTCGGTGAATGCCAAAGCCGATAAATCGTATTCATCTTGTTGAATACAAGAGAACTCGGACGGTAGGAACAGACGTGCTGTCTCTGGCTTCTGGGCTATTACGCTCTCCAGTAGGGACTTGAGTAGTGGAACGCGTTCACAAAGGATTTGACGGAAGTCATTCAGCTTGGCAACAAGTTGATTTCGTCTGGTTGAAATGAGTTCCTCTTGGTCCATGTGTTTGGCAGCAACTAGTCGAGCCACAGAGCATCTAAAAAAACGAGTCACTGTCAGTCGTAAACAGCCTAAATGCAACCACATACTGGTCTTTTTCAATCGCAAGACCGACAGCGATAATTGCTGAGTCACCCTCGAAGGAGCCAAGTCGTCGCTTTTCGTTGGATATTTCTTCCTCAATCAACTTCTTGTATGCGGCCTGGTGAGTCGGTGGCCCTACAAGAGACAATCAGTTTGGTATCGCTTCGATCAGACTAAGCAGTGTCGATACCATTCTTCAGCTTAAGCTCAAAGGGACAGTCAACCACCTTTCCGTTGGCATCAAAGGTGTTCTTCACAGCAAGTGCATCCCATTCTGCTAACTTCTTGGCAGAAATCGTGCTCCGATGGCCGTTGTAATCGTCCTCACGTTTTCGTAGCTGGAGCCTTGCATCGCAGTACAGTCGTGAAAGGGTTTCGGCTGGCCAGATTGCAACATATTAGCCATTGCTTAGTGGTAGATGAAGCGCATACCGAGGCGAATGAACTTATCCCAGTTCCAATTGTTGCAGGCTTCGTCAAGAGAATCATGCCGATTCCCATGATTTTGCTCCTTAGTACTGCCCGCTGTTAGATTCAACTCCGCCCACGACGATTCTATCATTTCCCCCGTTATCAAACCCATACCAACAAGCCAATTAAGATTGAAGATTAGCTCGCAAAATTCGCGGTGGTTGTGGATATGCATTTTTGGAATCGCACCGAAAAAGAAGTTTCGCCACCGGTGAGAGTGTTCGAAAGAATTTTTCAACACGTTTGGGGAGATTAATCCCATATTGACACCAGATATCGTACGTGACGACAATGTTCTTGTTCCTATGATTTTCGGCAATGACTCCACAGAGAGTGAAGTCAGTATTTGCATACCTGTAATTCGAGTGAGCGTGACACAGAGACCAGATAAAACGTACGCCTCTCCCTTTGTGAGATCAACCATAGCACCAGGAAGGAAAAATCCATGTCGAGCACACTGAATAGCGACAACACCAGAGATGACAACATTCTTGAATTTTGCCATGTTCTGCAGCGTTTTTGCGTTGAAATGGTTGCAGATAATGCCTTCAGGCTCTGGATTTGGATCTCGGGCCTTGGCGGACGTGGCGGCCTTGAGATATTCTCCAAAAAGCTTGTCGTCCGGGAAGAATGCATGTCCACCATTGAGTGCGACATCGGCAGAGTCTTCCTTGGTCTTCTTGTTTTTACGCTGTGCTTTGAAATTCGCGTCTGCAGATAGAACAAGACGGCTCGTATACCTCCAGTACAGTCAGTCTAGAGCCATGGAAGCACCGGACAGATTCACGTACTTGAGTTCATCTGGAAGTGCTTCGATCTCTTGTTCCGAGATATTGAACTCAATTTCTGGGCAAGCTGGACAGCGAACCGCAAGACCACCACCTGTTCGGTGGGGAACATGTTCATCGATTCCATGTTCCTGGCCTGAGCGTCGTTCTAGAGTCAAGAATCGCCATATTCGGAATGATCTCGCAAATTCTCGATACCGGTCCTGACAAAATTCAGCCTAATAAAACACAGAGCCAGATATATACACATACGGTGACATCATGAGGAAATGCCACATCAGTAAGCTTTTCGAGTGAGCGAATGTAGTCGTAGGCAGTGATTTTAGAGGTGAGCGACTGGACATGGAACTGCTCCAGAGCATCGAAGTCGAATGCCGTTCTGGGGAGTGCAAATGTCGCCGGAAATAAGCGTAGTTGAATAAGCTGTTCCCATCGCTCATACAGCTTCTCCGAATCAGGTTTTCGACAGCCACAAAAACGTACGGCGACAAGATGAAGGCCATTGACAGCAGCGACGGTTAGTTTCGAGGGGGGTATATGATCATCTGGCGCATAAGGACACGGAGAAAATCCATTCATACAGGCGCTCCAGACAAGCCCAAGGTCAATAAGAGAGACGGGACTGAATGCAGCACCATATGTGTCCTGTTTCCATTCGAAGATGCGATGAAATGGGTGACGGATATGTTGGTGTACAACACACGCCTTGCAGAGCATCTGCCGACCCACACATTGCGTACATGTAAAGAGACCGGGCTCTCCGCATTGGCATAGGCGACCGATACACGGATTTCCATGCAAGCTTTGGGTGAGTTGTTTGCGAAGGCTCGGAAGCCGCTCCATTGCATCATGAAGCTTTGCGGATGCACCCTAATTTGTTGAGGCCTGGTTCTCGGAGCTAGGACATGAAAAACATACCTGACTACGCTTGGGCTTGCTGGGAATAGATGGTGCTGGCTCATCGACATCTGAGATTGATTCGGTGGCCAAGTCAAGAAGCTCGCCAGAAGCTGTGCGGACTGCTGGGATGGCTTGGTCGTACATTTCGTCGTCAGAGTTGTTGGGTATACTCTGCTCTTGAACATTGATCTTCCGAGGTCTTCCTCGTTTTCGCACTGCAACTTGCTGATATTGCGACATGACGGAAATAAGAAAGATCAATCTCGGATTTTGACGTCATGACAGACTTATTGTTAACCAGATTGAGACAACAGATACACTACTTTCGTCTGAGTAAATAGGAAACATGAGAGTGAGTATCAGTATGAACAGTTTCCAATGGTGGAGGGCCTTCATCATCGTCATCGTCTTGCGCCGGTTCTTCGACTGGGTGGATATCTGGCGCTGGTTCTTCGACTGGAAGGACTGTGACGGGCTTTGAGCCTTCGACGCTGCTGAGACTGGTCATGTCCGATACCCGATGGTTCCGAAAGAAGGACGCACACAGATTTCAACCAGGCGGTCTCGACGGCTTCACCTTGCCAGTTTCCGCTACAAGAAACGTCGTAAGACATCCTGAATTGGGTCAATATTGGATACTTTGCCAATGTTAGATTCAACTTACGTGCTGACAGTGTGCATAATCATCCAGGATGCTCCGAAGAATTGCTCTCCCTTCTGGAGATTGTGGGTGCTCTTTTCCGGGGGCGACATGGCAAGAGAAAGAGGAGCGCGGCACGTGGCTCTCGGGAGCATCACATCAGCAGTATGCCAGAGCGACTGCGCTTGTCGACTGACCATGTCAACGCTCAAACCTGGCCTCAGCATTAACAATAATGCTGGTGGTATCTTATTGTGTCGATAGGGTATAAGAGTCGGTACGACACTCTGCTACCTAACCAATTCATACTCACAATGTCTCGTCACGACTCCCTTTCACCGATGGCTGCTCTTCACCATCAACTATTCCCTCCCAATGCCGAACATGGCCCAGGAGAATGTCCTAATGGCTATATTCACCAAACAACAATCAATCAAGCAACAGATGGGCGACTCGAAAGACTTGGTCAGCAAACTCACAAGGTTCGCGAGACTGTTGATACTTTCCTGACACTTATAATACCTAGTGTATCGCTCCAAAGGGCAAGACTAATGATACCTGCTCTGTCCTACCATCGGGACCGCTCCACCCAGAATCGGTTGTGATGGCTGCATGGGAGAAGATATTCGTGTATGGGATGGAGCTGAAGAGTACTCCGAAGGGGAAATCATCGATTAAGCGACAAGGTGCGTAGTTGACTGCTTATGAATTGCCTCCATTACTCAAAGCTCAAATCTAGTGAAAGCGCAGAGCCATTTGCATGAACTTATTCAAGCACTTGAGCGAGGTTTAGCTACGGCACATCCAGCTGGTATACCACGAAAATTTCCCATCAGTAAATCTCGCTTTGAAAATCGAGTTGTCCACTCACGATTTGTAGCAATGGCTGAGAAGCTATACTTTCACAAGCTTATGACGCAGCTCGCAGCATATACTGGTATTGCCCCTCAAGAAATAAACAGTCACGGTGCGACATACACAGGGAAGATGAAACGGCAAACCTCTCCAGGTAGATGCTCACACAGATTATTGGCATTAATACTGACTCCAGCCACCTCAGGCTACCCCTACCTGGTACCTCTTAGGCTTAATCGAACCCACGGAACCCTGGGCCTAAGAGGTACCAAATCCATGGTATCACCCATGGGGGTGGTACTATCCACAAATTGTGGATGGTACCATGGGTGTCACACAACCCATGACCATGGTTCCATCCATACAGCCTTGGGTGCATCCATGGCTGTGTGGATGGTACCATGGTGCTTTGCCTGATTTGGATGGTGGGGTGAATGCCTTGTAGCTCGCTCAAATCTGGCTCAAAAAATAAGCGCTTTGGTGCAGCCGGTAGGTCTCCCCCCGGGCTCTTTGATCCAATCACCTAGTGACGGGAAAGTCACTGGTTTGGCTGGAAGGTGCTTCTGGCATATTTTAGGAAAAATACCCTTGCAATGCTATTGCCTTGGCTTTTGGGTTGTCTGATTTGCACTAGAAAAATGAGATATTTTTGCTCTTCAAGACAGGCCAAGTCCCATGAGATTTGCTTGGCAGACTATGGAGTTTTGAATATTTTTTGATTTTTCTGGCTTTTGATTAGTTGGCAGTTCGGGCATCATAAATGGGTAGTAGGCAGGCTAGAGTACATGGAAAGTGATGTACAGTATGTCTAGAGTATGTACTACATGCTCCCACCCAGTTGGCCATGCCCCCACTCCTTGGCCTTTGCAGGGTATTGGGCGCTGGGGGAGCCGATCGGCCATCACTGATGGCATCAATCCGACCGGCATGTTTGATTTGGATGCATCCATGGTGCCAGGCAGATGGGGCCATGGATGCATCCATGGCTGGGCTTGATACCATGCATGGATGCATCCATAGGTAGTTTTGAAATTATCTGTGGTACCGGTGGCTCTGGTGGCTTAGACTAAATTGAAGTCATGCTACCATAAGATATTATAATCATCACATCATTCTCTTCTACTAACTATCAACAGTAATCCAGATATGCTGACAGAAATGTACAGAAGGTATTATAACCCCCACTCCACCTTACACGCTATTGACAGAGTCTGTAAGCCAACAAAAGGACAGTAGTATGAGTTACTCCATAGCTATAGCAGGCAAGATGGAATATAATATAAGACTTGTCAGCCTGAGAGCCACCACAGCCACCAGAGCCACATGGCAGCACACAGCGAAAATGTCACCAGGTGGCCTCTGGTGGCTCTGCACAAACTCTCTATTCAAGTCTTGCATTTTACTTAAAATTGAACAATGACTAGTTTTAATAGCTAAGATCTCTCTTTCATCCTCTGTTCAGCTACCTTTGCTATGGTGAACTTATTATTGAATGGATGGATAATACTGATAATAGTACTAGGAGAGATTCCTAGGTTCAAGTGTGGAATCACACTTGAAATTAAACAATCACTAGTTATAACAGCTAAGACCTCTCTTTCACCCTATTCAGCTACCTTTTATAATACATTTTAGGTGTTGAATTGATTACAGGAGAGAGTTCTACTAGAAATTTAGAGCTCCTCTGAAGGTCTGATACTCAGTCTATCAACCTCATCATTCATATAAACCAGTTCACACTCAATCTGTCTTTTACTGTTCCCCAGTTCATCCCAGAAATCAATTCAAGTATGTGTGTGTGTGTGTGTGTGTGTGTGTGTGTGTGTGTGTGTGGCAGATTACAGCTAGACTGCATATATCATGAGTTATAGTATTCATAGGTCTAGTGGGGAATCACTAGAGATTACATACCTGAAAGATATGGTATGAGAGATGTGAACTGTGAGTGTCCTAATAGAAGCAACCCTCTGTATATAGTTCCAACTTTAACTTTAGTGAGAACTCCCTATCTATGAGTGAGTTATTGACAGATTGATATTAAAATACTAGGTATGATAGCCAAACTTACATATGGTTAGTAATGAAATCAGTAGACAATAAGTGCACCTTATTTGAACCCAATAAGTTGTCAAAACATGGTGTCACATTATTATGACTCAATTGCATTTTATCACTTATTTCAGATATATCACGTACACTTTGGTCCTGTCTCTGATTTTTAATATATATAGTCTTATATCTTATGGCATATTTAGCCCATTTAAAAATTGTTAGCTGATATCAGCTTTAAGTTGAGTCCAATATGATAACTTAATATAAGTATTCCCCAATTTCTTAAAAAATCAAGTCTACTTTCGTAGAGTTTTATTGCTATTTTTCCAAGTCATTTGAAATATATATCTTTTTGTCCATCATTTATTGCGAATCAATCCTACTTAAGCACCCATTTTTGGGTGGAAATCCCAGTATGAATAATAATTATTAATGACATTATCAGAGGAACCTCCCCTTCGGCCCGCCAATTCCGAGTCTGATTCTGACTCTAGTGAGCATATCACCACCTCCATCAGGCACATCGCTGCCCTGCCATAGAGATTCCCCTAGGACCTGGCCTGCGACATGGCACAGGCATACTGCTTGGAGCAATGATCACACTTGGTGTATCAAGAGCATAGTATATAGTTCAGCTACCTAGCAGGCGGACCCTTAGGGTTTCTTCTCTTTGGATCCTTCCTGCTAGGTCAGCTTCCTGTGTATTTGCCTGCCACTGGATCCTCCCCTGCTAGGACCCTGATTTCGGGCCTCCAGGGTTGCCTTACAGACATTCCATTGTCAAAAGATAGAAATACTGTTATTAAGGTACTTGTGGTTATGAGTTCTCCAATTAGTGAGATGACACCTCATTAGTACTGGTATAACAATAAAGCTACTACTCAAGGTTACTGAAAAAGTTATCCAAGTACTTGGAATAGCCAGCTTTGATGTAATAGCAGGACCTGGTGACATTTTGTCATCTTGAAATAATCCCTTATGAAAACTCTAATTTTCTTGCATATATAGTATGTTTGCATAGTATATTTGTTTTGTCATGCCATAACTACTATATTAACTGATGTCCTTTGACAGAACTTGATTATATCGGATCATACCAAGGTTACTTAGTATTACCAGGGACATAGAGGACCATATGGGCCTTGGATAGTACCACTAGTGTATGGATGTATCTATACAGGAAGTGTGGATGCAACCATGTGCTATGGTACCATCCATATGTGGATGCAACCATGTCCATATGGATGTACCCACAGTTTGATCCAAGTTGCCCGTGGCTGCATCCACATATGCCAGTGGTTGCATCCATTATGGTATTAACCATGACTGTGGTACCATCCATGTGAGATGGATGGTACCACAGATAATTTCAAAACTACCTATGGATGCATCCATGCATGGTATCAAGCCCAGCCATGGATGCATCCATGGCCCCATCTGCCTGGCACCATGGATGCATCCAAATCAAACATGCCGGTCGGATTGATGCCATCAGTGATGGCCGATCGGCTCCCCCAGCGCCCAATACCCTGCAAAGGCCAAGGAGTGGGGGCATGGCCAACTGGGTGGGAGCATGTAGTACATACTCTAGACATACTGTACATCACTTTCCATGTACTCTAGCCTGCCTACTACCCATTTATGATGCCCGAACTGCCAACTAATCAAAAGCCAGAAAAATCAAAAAATATTC